CCCAGGCAGGTCGCGACCCCGCGGGCTCAGGCAATCCACTCACCTCGGCCTCCCAAGGCATGGGATTACAGGCTGAGCCACCGAGCCCGGCTGCTTTACTTTCTTTGCTGGCCACTTCTTCACATCCCTCTCGGCAGGGGTGACACCCTCCATGAACAACTCGAGCCCAACATTCACTCCAGGAATGCAGGCTCCTCCTGCTGACCACGTGGCACCCACGTCCCCGGAGTCACGAGGACTCCCAGCTGGCATCTGCCCTCCACTCCTGCCCCTACTGCCTCCCTTTGCTGTTTCCCTTCACACTGAGGTGTCTCCAATGACAAGCTGCGCTTTTTTTCTAAAAATACGGTCTCACTCTGTCACCCAGGCTGGAGCACAGTGGTGCAGCCACAGCTCACTGCAGCCTTGACCTCCTGGGCTCAACAGATCCTTCCACCTCAGCTTCCCAAGTAGCTGAGCTGACAGGTGTACACCACCACACCTGGCAATTTTGTTGCTGTTTTTATAGAGATAGGGTCTCACTCTGTTGCCCAGGATGGTCTCCAACTCCTGCCTCAAGCAATCTTCCCTCCTTGGCCTCCTAAAGTGCTGAACTGCAGGCCTCTGTGCCCAGATATCTCACTTTTTCTTGATATATTCGTCAGAAGATGGATACCTGGCTTGTTTCCACTTTTTGGTTTTTAGGAATAATGCTGCTATGTACAAATGTGTACACATTTTTGTATGGACATGGTTGCTTTCTTTTTTTTGAGTTGAAGTCTCACCTGTCACCCAGACTGGAGTACAGTGGCCGCCACAGCCTCGACCACAGCCTCGACCTGCTGGACTCCGGCGATCCTTCCGCCTCAGCCTTCCAAGTAGCTGGAACTACAGGCACGTGCTACCACACCTGGCTAATTTTTTATTTATTGTAGAGATGAGGTCTCGCCAAGTTGCCCAGGCAGGCAGGTCTCGAACCCATGGGCTTAGGCAATCCACTCACCTCAGCCTCCCAAAGGTGCGGGATTACAGGCTGAGCTACTGAGCCCGGCTTGGACATGTTTTCAATTTCTACTTTTTTTTTTTTTTTTTTAAGTCAGAGCCTTACTCTGTCGCCCAGGTTTCTGATCCTTCTGCCTCAGCCTTCCAAGTAGCTAGAACTACAGGTGTACATGACTATGCCTGGCTAAGTTTTTTGATTTATTGTAGAGAAGAGGTCTCACTAAGTGGGCCAGGCTGGTCTTGAACCCGCAGATGCAGGCAAACCACTTACCTTGGCCTCCCAAAGTGCTAGGATTACAGGCTGAGCCACCAAGCCCAGCCAAGCCTGTAGTTTTTTTTGAGTTGGAGTCTCACTCTTTCACCTAGGCTAGAGTGCAAGGGCATACTCACGGTCACCCAGCATCAAACTGCTAGCCTCCGGGGATCCTTCCACCTCAGCCTTCCAAGTAGCTGGAACTACAGGCGCATGCTACCACGCTCGGCCAAATTTTCTAGATTTACTGTAGAGACAAGGTCTCATCACGTTGCCCGAGCTGGTCTCAAACCTGTGGGTGCAGGCAATCCACTCAGCTTGCGCGCTTTGAAGAGCACCTGAGATCTCACCTCGGAGGCCACAAGCACATCACTCGACAAGCACTTCCAGCAATCTCTGACACACGCCATCATCACATGGCATTTCCTGGTATTTGTTACTTCGTGCCCGGGCAGAGCTGCCCCGGAGGCACACAGGCTGGAAAGCAAGACAAAGCAAGACAAAGCAAGACGTGAACTGAAGGCCAGGGTGAGGGGAGCGGGAGGCCAGCCTGGCGGGGAGAACGGTGTCCCCCACGTCGGTGGCAGGCAGTAAGCCCTGGCGGGTGCAGAACGTGCGCCCCTTCAGCCTGCAGAAAGCGCAGCGGCAGCAGAAGGCAGCCAGACACACTGAGGTGGTCGCGCCTGAAGACCAGCCAGGCCCTGCTCCAGGTGTGGGGACACAGGAAACAAAGGAGGGCGCGGCCCTGGCAGAGCAGGCCTGCTGCCGGGCAGACAGGCAGGGCTAGTGGGAAGCCCGGAGGGCGCCACAGAGCAACAAGCCCTGCAGGGAACTGAGCAGGGAAGGGAATCCTGGGAGGAGGGAGAAGCAGCCAGCTATAATCGCCCAGGCCCTGGGGGCCGGCCTGGCTGACAGGGGAGGACCTGGGTCCCAGGGACTCGGGAGGCCATGGCAGGAGTGCCTGAGCCTGGCAGCTCGAGACCAGCCTGAGTCATGCAGCGAGGCCGTCACGACAAGGAAGACTGGAAAGGGGAGAGCGAGGCTGGCGGAGTGCTTGAGCCCAGGAGTTCGAGACCGGCCTAGGCGATGTGGTGAGATCCGCCTCCATGACAAAAAGATGGGGAGGGAGGGCAAGGCACTCACCTGCTCACCTGGGTGGAGGAAGCTGCACACCGTCGGCCAGGAACATGCCCGGTGTGTGGTTGGGCGGAGCAGAGCCCTGCAGACCCGGCACCGCCTCAGGCCACGGGAGAGGAGGGACGTCCCGGGACGCCGCAGCTGCCGTGCTGAGAAGGGCCTGGGCGGACGCAGGGCGGGAGCCGGGGGCGACTGCAGCATCCCGCAGTGGCAGTGGGCGAGGGACAGCCGCCGGGTCTAGGAGGGTGCTAGAGCCAAGACGATGTGCAGAGTGGACATGGGGTGCGAAGGAAAGGAGGAAGCCACAGAGTGGCCCGAGCAGCTGGACGACGGAGCCACCTCTTCCCGAGTCCCGAAGTAGCAAGCTTGGGGCCGGTGACAGGGAGCCTGGCCCGGGCCCGCTGAGCTGTGGTGTCCACCAGGCGCCTCTGTGGAGACGTCAGCAGGAGGCTGGACAGGCCCGGCTGGACGTCCGGCCCACAAGGCTGCCGGGACACCGAGTGCGCAAGCCGGCTGAGAGGCCTGGGCCCGCAGGCAGACAGGACTGAGGGAGGAGCTGGGAGGGAGCAGCCAGCGTGCGAGCCCTGAAGGCCGGTGCAGGGCGTGCTTCCAGGAGGAGGGCGCCATCAGCGCTGAGCGTGCATACGCGACACAGCCACGGCCTTGGTGGGCCCCAACACGTGCACACAGGCTTCAGGTCAGTGGCGTTGCGCTCCGTAAACCGACCTGTGACTCGACCTCCTTCCCCGAGTGCAAGACCCTCTGCCCAGGCCACTGCGTCAGAGGCCACACCGTGCTCACTTTTCCCCTGTAGGTGCATGTTCCCCCAGCTGCAGAACCCCAGGTCACACAGCAAAGGGCACCTCGTGCCATCACCCCTCCACCCACGGGGCCGCCTCCTTGACGTGACCCTGGGGGCGGCTGCCGGGAGTCGCACCCTCTTCTCCTGCTGCTTCCAGACCCCAGGGCAGCCCCGCTCCCCAAAGCTGCAGTCACTGCAATGGCCGGGACCTCAAGTGCCAGGCCAGGCTGCCCCGTGGGACCTCCGGCGGGCAGAGTCTCCCTGAGACGGCTGGGAACCTGCTGCCCCACCCCACACACGCAGCTGCACTGGAACGAGCCCCACACACTTGGTCTTCCTCTACCTGCCCCTCGGGGCGACAGCACGACTCCACCTGTCTGGGCACACCGGGTCTGGCTGGGGGCGCCGGCACGTCCGGCACGTCCTGCACCCTCAGCGGCAACCTTGGAAAGCCGTGCCAGGCCTGCAGGCAGCTGGCAGACGGCCCCCACGGTCTTCGGGAGCAGGCGGACGTGGGTCTAGTCACGCGCCTCCAACCAGGGGGGAACGCAAGGACCAGACGGAGACAGGGATGCCACGTGCAGACGCGAGAACTCCCAGGCCTGGGCAGGTCTGTAGGCAGCGGCCCAGGTCCGGAGCCCTCAGCATAGGCAGGGCACTACCCTGGCGAGCAACTCCCCGGACCGGCTCTTACCAGGAGCGTCTCAAGTGACCAGAAGCTTGAAGCTTGAGGCGGCTCAGAACAGTGTGGCCAGCGAAGCCCCGAGGCAGCAGCCAACACGGCCTCCCACTGTGCGCGCCAAGGGGGGCGGGCTCTCTTGTGCGTCCCACGGAGATCCCACGGAGACCCGTCACTTCCCAAGGACCAGCAGGCAGGAGGCCGCGACTGCACTCAGGCCAGTCCCACTCCCAGACCTGCACGTCCCACAGCACGTCACCAGGCAGCTGCCTCCAGATGCAGCGGCTCTGCTGGGCGTCCCTCTTGGCGCCTGCGGTCCTCCCTCAGAGTGCCGCGTGACTGCGCCCCTCCCCAGAGAGCCGTGGCCATCCTCCCTGCTGGGGACACATGCAGCACGGCTCCCTCCTCAGAACGCCGCGTAGCAGCGCTCCGTGGTGCTGACGATGTCGCTCTGGTCCTCCAGGAGCTCCAGGACCCGCTGCAGCACAGCCTCGCTCAGGCCTGGGAGGACACGCAGGCGCGCGCAGGCCAGGATGTGCAGGAAGTGGCAGCCCTTGTCCGCATCTGGGGGAGGGGGCAGGCGGCTGAGCGTGGACACGGCTGCAGGCCCCGCGGGCTCTCCCCGCCCTTTCCGCCCCCGGCTGGGCGCCCACTTCTGGCGAGGTCCCAGGCGAGCCTCGAGCACACCGAAGTCTGCGTCCCGGCTGCTTGTCACCAAAGCAGAAAAGGCACCACTCCCAGACCCCATGTGTCCCACGGAGATGAGGCCCCACCGCGCGGGAACATAGGCCGCAGCCTGTGAGGGCTCCCAGCCAGTGACTTCACAGGTGCTGCCGAGGGGATCCGCAAGGCATGGCGCATTCCTCTCCCTGGACCCGTGTGCACCTGCTCAGCACTGGCCCTCGGGTTCCCTGCGGGCGTCCCGAGGCCCAGGCCCAGGCCACAGAGGCGGGCGGCGGCAGCCCTGAGGTCTTTCCTGAGATGTCTGAGGAATCCTGCCCTTGGCCTCTCTTCAGCCCTCTCTTCCTGGCTCCCCGGAAGACCTGCCTACGCTGGCTGTTCTAGTCACCCCGTACCCTCCACCCCAGACTCAGATCCCTGGGAACACAGTGAAGAGCTCAGGGTTGGCCACCTCCTGCCACAGGAAATCAGGGTCTAGAGCAGCGGCAGTGAGAAAAGAAAAGAACTTCCGCCTGAGGAGCGCAATCTTTTTTTTTAGACAGGGTTTTCCTGTCACCCAGGCTGGAGCGTGGTGGCACAATCACAGCTCACTGCAGCCTTGACCTCTTGGCTCAAGTGGTCCCCCTGCCTCAGCCTCCCAAGTAGCTGGGACTACAGGCGCCACCACGCCCAGCTAATTTTTCTATTATTATTATTTTTTTCTGTAGAGACGAGGTCTCACTATGCTGCCAGGCTGGGCTCAAACTCCTGGGCTCAAGTGATCCTTCTGCCTCGGCCTCCCTACGTGCTGGGGCTGCAGGCGTGAGCCGGACCCAGCCAGCAAGTCCTCCTATGGGTAGGGCCCAGGGAGACGCCAGTGAGGCAGCAGCCACCCCGCCCCCCGTGGAGCGACGCGGTCCTCTCTCGGACCTGCTCGCTCTTGCTGCCACTCAGCCGAAGAACAACGTCACACTCCACACTGGAGCCCACGCCCTAGAGCTTAACAACGAGCAGCCCAAGCAAAGTGAGTGACAGGCAGAGTCTCGGATCACCCGATTTATCAGGCCAGCGCGAGGGTCACACAGAAGCATGTGTGACTGTTTTTTCAGAGACCGTCAGGAGGTTCCGTCTCCTTTGAAAGGAGGGTAGGGCGGCAGTCAGACCAACAAGCTCATTCTTGGGAGACTCTACTGGATTTGCACCACCAGCAAATCCACATTTGCCTACATGAACATTTGAAAAGAACGGGGCTCCTCTTGGCTCCACACCCAGGAAGGCAAGCCACCCGTCTTCTGCAAGGGCTGGTTTCTGCTTAGGCCGCAGGGAAGATGGCCTGTTCATGAGAGGGTATAACGAGGCATGTCCCATCTCCCCTCCCAGCTCCGAGGTTTCTCTGGGGTCCCCTTGGCCAAGAGGGGGGATACCTTCAGTCAGCTGGAATCTTAGAACTTTTTGTGTCTCGTGCTAACCAATGCCATTTCTGTGAACAACGAGGGTTCCCCACAAAAACTCTATCCGCCTGCTCCCCGCCCCCTTTTGTGCCTCACGCTGGACTGCCATGCGGTGGCGGTGGTGTGATCACGCAGTCTCAACCTCTCCTCCCACCTCAGTCCCCTCCACAGCTGGGACTACAGGTGCACACTACCACGCCCGGCTAACTTTTAAGTTTTTGGTGAGAGGAGGTCTCACTATGTTGCCCAGGCTGGTCTTGAACTCCTAGCCTCAGGTGATCCTCCCATCTTGGCCTCCCAAAGTGCTGGGATGACAGGTGTCAAGTCACCACACCCGGCCCTTTTGGGCTCTACAATAAATCAAAAATTAGCCGGGGTAGTAGCACACGCCTGTAGTTTCAGCTACTTGGAAGGCTGGGGTGGAAGGATCGCCGGAGCCCAGCAGGTCGAGGCTGTGGTGGCCGGGAGCGGCCACTGCACTCCAGTGTGGGTGACAGCGTGAGACTGCAACTCAAAAAGAAAAAAACAAAACTTGTCGCTGCTGCTATTCGGAGTGCATATTCAGGGAAGCCTGCACCTGTGCTTGCTGGCTGCAACACTCAAGCTTGGCCCAAACGAACTAGCTTATGTTCATCCTGCCTCTGCTTTTTCCTTTGAGAAGACACTGGTCACACGGGGGACTGTGACCACCAGGGGTCATGAACTCCATCTCTGGGGGCTGTGACTAGCCTTCTTCTTCTTACTACACTGAGATAGAACAGAAAACTACAGAATACAATGTGGTATAATTTGGGCATTACTCTGGGGAACTTCATGTCACACATGTACTGAATGTGTTAGACGGACGCACTTTCTCTGGTCAGGACGCAAAATGCATCCCTACCCAAGTCAGCCCAGCCCACGGTTGAAGCTCTCCCATGCGCACAGTGGGTCTGCAGCGGCCACAGGCCTCTCCTGCTATGCCCAGCACCGCCCAGGATGCACTCAGCCCCACCTGAGCACAGGGCCAGATGAGAGGTGCGGCAGGTGCAGAAAGGTCTTGGGTGCCATGTGTGGGGGCGCACATGCCACCTGAGTGCCCCTGCAGCCTGGGACGGGTCACAGCTGCCAGCCAGTCACAGCTTGGGAGCCCTGCCGCCGCCGTCCCTCCGGCCTAAGGGGTAGGGCCAGCTCCTGGGCTCCGCGGACGTGCTTGAGGCTGACCCTGGTGGCCACACCCCTCTGTGTGTGCCCAACATGCACACCCACTGCAGGTACCGCCGAGCCGGGGGGAGCCGTCATGGTGTCCGAGTCCCTGTCCTGGCTCCACAGCCAGAGCGGACCAGCTCCTTCGCAGGGTGCACGCGAGAGCCGGTGGGGCTCCTCCCATCCCCAGAGGCTGACATGGCGGTCCCTGCGGAGGCCCCGGCCCTTCGCAAGAAGACGGACGAGGGAGGGCACGCGGGAGTGGTAGGCGATGGAGGGAGCCCCCAGCCACAAGGCGCACCAGGGAGGAGCAGCGAGCCGGCGGCCACGAGGTCAGACCTGAGCAGCCTCCCAGGCTCCCTTGCAGCCCACTCCAGCCCAGGCCTCCCGCGACGTCCGTGAGGGGCTGCCCTGCTGGGGCTGCTGTAGCAACCCTCCAGGCATGTGGTGACATGAACTCACGCTCTTCTTTCTCTGTTTTTATTATTTGTCACTATGGTGCCCAGGCTGGTCTTGAACTCCTTCCTGGCCTCAAGTGATCCTCCCACCTCAGCCTGCCAAAGCACTGGGATTACAGATAAGACACACCGTACCCATCCTTAAAGTTAAAAACAAAAAACAAAAAACTCTAATGTGAGCAGTGTTATGCGGTATTCAGCTTCCACAAAAAAGCAGTCATACCATCCGGCCTTAAGGACAGTAAAAGTGAATTTGAGCTTTTTGAAAACCCCATGAGCCAAACGCAGTGGCTCACGCCTGTCATCCCAGCACTTTGGGAGGCCGAGGCAAGAGGACTGCCTGAGTCCTGGGGTTCGAGACCAGCCTGGGCAACTCAGCAAGACCTCGTCTCTACAATAAGTCAAAAAATAAGTCAGGTGTGGCGGCATGTGCCTGTGGTTCCGGCTACTTGGAAGACCGAGGCAGAAAGATCGCCTGAACCCAGCAGGTCGAGGCTGGGGTGGCCATGAGCATGTCACTGCACTCCAACTGGAGTCTCACTCAAGGCGACAGAGTGAGACTCCAACCCAAAAAAAGATAAAAAAGAGAAAAGCTCATGGCACAACGTAACCATCTAGCAAAATACTGCTGCCGTTTTAGAACTCACCGAACGTTGACTTTCTGAGGTGTGAAATGATACGGCCGATCATACGGAGAAAGACCCCGAGCTCAGAAAACGCAAACTGAGGTACTGAGCGAATCCAGCTGAAGGGTGTCTGGGTGTTAAGCGTACTCAACTTTAAACGTCCCTGCAGCTTGGCGCATTTTCAGGATCAAAAGTTGGAGCTAGAGGACCTCTTCGATGTGGAGCTCCTCCTGCTGGACAGCCTGCTGCCAGCACCCAGGCTCTCTTAACTCCAGCCCGACAGGGACAGAGCGACACCACACACGGGCTCCATCTGACACTGCCTCCTTCCCTGTCAAACCAGTCAGAGCGAGCCCTGGGCCTCCAAGCTGGAGAATCGAGGGCTGCCAGCGGAGCCACGAGAAAGCAGGACTCCCTGGTCTCCATCGCTTCTGCAGCCCTGCCAACATGCAGAGCACCCCTGCTCACCTCTCACGCCACCCACCACGTGGGTGCGGTTACCAACCCCACTTCGCACCACAACTGCCCGAGGCTCAGACCCTCCCCAGGTCACACAACTCCCACTGGCTGGGCTGGGGCTCGAGCGCGGGGAAGGAGTCCGCTCCAGACGGCGCAGCTGCGGCGACCCTGCAGGGCCCCACCACAGGCCGAGGTTCCCAGCCCCTTCTGCAGGGTCAGCCCTGCCGGGACGTGGTGAACGCCGGGAGACTTCAAGTCCTTCTGTCAGTCACCCTGACAGGGCACACTCAGTGCCGTGTTTTGCCTGTAGGAACAGTTGGACTGGGGAGGGAGGACCATGGAATGCCACGCAGCTGCTAAAGGGCGGAGGCACCGCTGCCCAACGACCTCCGGAAGCAGCTTCAGACCCGAAACGCAGGGGCCATGGCCTTCCTTGCCGCACAGAAGAGGGCAGGCTGCGCATGCGTGTCTGAGTGCACGGACCGTCTCCAGGAGCACACGCAAGCCCCAGAGACCACCAGTGCCGCGGAGAGCACACAGAGCCCGGGCCCGTGCTGGGAGAAAGGCTCTCTGGCAGGCCAAGGGACCTGGGGTCACCAGCAAGCCTTGCCAGCACTGCCCTGAGCAGGCCTGCGAAAGGCAGGCTTGGAAAAGCCTTGCTTCTCTTTCCAGTCGTCGTGAGAATGGTGATGCCCGCTGCCAGACAGCTACAGTTTGAGTATCTAGCCACTAGGGGCTGAGCTAACTCCGCTAAACTGATTTTCTAAATTGTCAGTTCCCAAGGCGACTGGATGACACACCATTCATAGGCTAGAACCCTTCCTTCCGACACTGAAAGGCTGTTGCAAGAGAGGGAAATGTCAGGTTTGTGTTCAAACAAAAGGGCCACATGTGGAATAAGAAACCATCCCTATCAGTGAGAATGTGAGAACCCGTCCTAGTGCAGGGACGCCCCGCACTCTGTAAGAATCACCCTGCCCCCACAGAATCAGAGTCCCCAGGGTGGGGTCTGGGCTCTGCATGCTGCAAGGAGAGCCAAGGTGGAACCAGCATGCAGTCAAGGTTGGCACAACTGTGTCGCCTAACGCCCACTTTAGAGAGGAGGAAGCAGAGGCCCGGCGCTCTGACCGCCAACTTTCCTGACTCTCCACCCCGTGCTCCCTGGGAGAGGCACCCGATTGTCTCGCCACTCACGCTTCGGTTTCTGGCAGTCTTCCTGAATGATCTGGTGGATCTTTCTGTGCAGGCCCTTGTCTTCTCTGGTTACCTAAAGAGGAGAAACAGCTCAGAGTGTGCTTAGGTAACACGGCCACGGTGTCACCCAGACTTCCATGTTAGCAGTTAGGGGAGTTGCTAAAGACTTCACAAGTGTCTTCCTCACACCAACACCGTGGCTTTTGATAAGTGGCCTGCTGTCAAACCAGTTCTGCCCAGAGGACACACCCTTGGGAGCTGGCTCATTAGGGCCATGAGGTTAAAAAGAAGCTGAATTATGAAATTTAAGAAGCAACTTTCTTCTCCAATGCTCATAACACACTCACAACATTTATTTGTTGCTTGCTTGTTTGTTTACTTATTTTGAGTTGGAGTCTCACTCCGTTGCTCAGGCAGGAGTGCAGTGGCATGCTCACGGCCACCCCAGCGACAACCTGCTGGACTCTGACGATCTTTCCGCCTCAGCGTGCTACCACACCCAGCTAATTTTTGATTTATTGTAGAGACAAGGTCTTGCCAAGTTGACTGGCCTGGTCTCGGACCTACGGGCTCAGGCAAACCACTCGCCTCGGCCCCCAAAGTGCTGGGATGACAGGCTGAGTCACCGAGCTTGCCTGTTGCTTATTTCTGAGGAAGGCGCAGGGATCAAAGCCACCATCTCCCCCCACAACTCCTTCTTCTGGGCCCTGACATCTGTTTGGGCTGCATCAGTTTTCTTCCTTCTCCCAACCACAAGGAAAAATAAGAGAAGAAAAAACTGTCAGGCAGCCAGTCAGAGGGCAGAGGCAGCCGCCATCCACAGAAACCCTTTGCTCCTGACCAGCTGGGGAAGAGGAAAGGGAGGAGACAGACAGAGGAAAGGCCGGAGGAACAAGGGAGGAGGAGGAAGGGAGGAAGAAGGAAAATTGGTGGACGGCAGCTGCCTCTCCGCCCCAGGCCCAGTCTGCCATCTCGGCGCACACGGGGAGACAGAAGGCCAGGCGTGAGTCTGCTGGCAGCAGGAGAGCGGACACAAACACAGTGCTGGCTTGCTGGGACCCCCACTTCCTGGCAGGGCCTCAGGAGAGAGCTGGAGGAGGGGACGGGGTTTCCTGCTTGGTCACCGTGACTCACAGCAGGAAGTGCCCGACCCGCCCCGTCCCTCCCACCAGGAAGCCTTGCTCACCGGCTCACAGGCTTGGAAGGAATATGTGTTCCCAGGGCCTGCAGGTGGGCTGCCATGAGCTTTTCCAGCCTCCCAGAAGGAGTCAGCGACTGGCCTCTCGACAGGACCCCAGCCTGGGAAGGCGGGGACTACGCGCGACCCTTATACAGACCAGTTACCCCTTTCAAAAGCCATTCAAATAGTATCCTAATTTCTAAAACCTCTCTAAAATGGGGAATCACTAGGGCAAACCAACATCAGGAAACGTCCCATTGAGAAAAGCTTCCCTCAGGAATCCTGCACGCAAATAGCAGGCCTTCTGGACACCTGAGTTCTGACGGGTCTGCAGGAGACCCGCACGTCACTGAGGCCACGTCTGCGATGTCGGCAGTCCCAAGGGGCCCGCGTTCAGCCGGGCGCCCACGGGTCTCCTGCTGGGACGTAGTCATGAGCAAGGCCGGTCAGGCTGTGCCGACCAAGAGCTTAACCCACATGCCCTGCTCTCCAGCAGCTCTTCTCGTACGAGTCAATCTCAGGGCAACACTGACTGACGTGCACAAATATCGCAGTGCAAAAACAGCCACAGCAACACTATTTGTGACAGCAAGTGCCGGAAACCCCCAAGTCCCCCACGAAGGAATGGCTGAAAAATGCACAAGTGCCCACAGAACGGAGAACCACGGAGACGCCATGAAGAACAAGGTCGAATTTTTTGAGTTGGAGTCTCACTCCGTCGCCCAGACTGGAGGGCAGTGGCCGCTCCCAGCCACCGCAGCCTCAACCTGCTGGGCTCCGGAGATCCTTCTGCCTCAGCCTTCTGAGTAGCTGGAACGACAGGCGCGCGCTACCACGCCTGGCTGATTTTTTGATTTATTGTAGAGATGAGGTCTCGCTGCCCAGGCGGGTCTCGAACCCGCGGGCTCAGGCAATCCACTCACCTCAGCCTCCCAAAGGCGCGGGATTACAGGCTGAGCCACCGAGCCCGGCTAACAAGGTCGATTTTTAAGCATCAGCGAAGAAAGGAGCCGTGATGTGCCACGTGCCAAGAAAGGCACTGAGCTTTCAGAGCGGCAGCGCTCAACAGTCCGGGACTCCTGCCAACATCCAGAGGCATTTCTGGTTGCCACTCTGGGGTGCTGCTCCTGGCAGCCCGTGGGAGAAGGCCAGGACACGGCCGACATCCCATGTGTGCAGGACCGCCCCGCAACAGTCATCTTCTGCCCACAGAGTGCAGAGGCTGACGCCTCCTGACTCAGAAGAAAACCACACTTTTCATAAAACAAAAAAGCCACAGGAGCCTATTTGTACATGTGTGCATTATGAAAGCAAGGTAGGTGTCTAGGGTAAAAGGGAACCCCTCGCAGATGCAGGGGGCTGGTTCCAGGACCACCTGCATATGCCAAGACCCACGTGGACTCAAGCATGTGAAAGCATGTGAAAGGCGTAGGTTTCGAGTCCTACGAACTGCATTTTCTATCTACTTGGTTGAAAACAGTCTACACGTAAGTGGGCCCTGCAGTTCAACCCGTGTGGTCAACCACTGTTAAAAGAGGTGCCTTGGAAACAGGCAAAGGCTGACTTTCACGAGGACTTACGTGCTCCCTTAATGATTTTTAAAACCAGTAAGCAGCTATGCGTGAGTAACAAGGGCATTCATAATTGAAGCTACAAAGGAAAGGAGTTACACTGCAGATCTCTTACGTAGTACAGGCTTTCAAAGCCACCATCTTTCTGGAAAACAAGTCCTTTTTCCTGCAGCAGCTGTATGGCGTTCTTAAATATACCGTGGATTGCCTTGGGAGTGGTGTCCTTTCTAAAAACCTCCTGTATAAAGAGGAAAGAGACAAAAAGGAAGAGCAGTCAGTCCCATCTTACAGCACCTGAGGCAACTCCCAAACCCAGCTGGTTTAGAATCGGCCCAACAGGCTCTTTATCTGCTGAGCCAAAAAGATCCGGGGCGTGCCGCCTGGCAGTCAGAACACGGAGGGCAGGGGTGTGGCAGGCGGCTTCCCAGCCCTTCCCGCCCCACCTCGGCTGTGATCGTCACTATGGCTTAATTCAACCTGCGTAGTGGAGACTCACAAAGCTACTAGCACTGTGGGCCAATCTGACTTATTTTAAAATACAGAACCAAAATGTTGTACATACATTAGTCCCTTTACCCATTAAAATTGTGGCTGCACACATTCCCTCCCTAGGGGCTTCGGGGCTCGTGCCCTTGGCTCAGCCTGCCATCCCGTGCCTTCGGGGGGCTGAGGTGAGTGGATGGCCTGAGCCCGCGGGTTCGAGACCCGCCTGGGCAGTGAGACCTCAGCTCTACAATCAATCAAAAAATCCGCCGGGCGTGGTAGCGTGCGCCTGTAATTCCAGCTACTCGGAAGGCTGAGGCGGAAGGATCGCCGGAGCCCAGCAGGTCGAGGCTGCGGTGGCCGGGAGCGGTCACTGCCCTCCGGTCTGGGCGACAGAGTGAGACTCCAACTCAAAACAAACAAGAACAAAAAAAAACAACAACAAAAAAACAAAGGTTCGTGCCCATACTGAAACAGCTTGAGGATTCCGGCACACAGCAAGTACAAAGGCGCCTCTTTCTTTGACACAGAGGACCGTGTGCAGAGGCCCCTCGCAGAGTCCCTGAGGCTGAGGCGGAGAGCTCCAGAGCAAGGCTAGGCCCCTCCGGAAGGGCCCCTCTGCTGCCGCTCTGCCCCCAGCCTCCGTGCTCCTCCCTGTCTCCGAGAGAGGGGTCGCCACAGAGGGTGCCGGTCACCGGCTTCTGACTCCCAAGGCTGGGGTGCCCGCTATGTCCTGCTGTGCTCACCAGGGGTGTGCTCCCTGAATCGGGGACTCTGTGTGTCATCTTGGCCACCTCCTCCCTGGCACATGTTGGGTGGCCCACAGGATCAAGAGCCCCTTAGAGAGGTTGCATCTTTCTTGGCGTTCCACTGGGGATTTTCCATTCATTGCCACCCCCCCAAAAAGAAAAAAGGTGAAGAGCGATTGTCCTTTGAAGTATAGATCCACTTTTTTTTTTTTT